GGGTTTGGACTTTGTACTGTATAAGTACATCATTATTTAACAGAGCAGAGTATGTTTGTTTGAGCTTCAGCCAGGGCTGTGGAGTTTGTAGGGAAAATGACCGACTCCTGGAATTTTAATGACTCTGACTCCCTCATGTATATGAGGAGTATATATATATATATATACACACACACACGGGATACAGCTTTTTTTTTTTTTTTTTAAAAGTATAAAAGAAGTAATAATAGATGCTGCAGAAGAAAAATTGATGGTGTAACAAATTATTTATTTAAAATAGAATTTATTATGAAATGAAAAAACTGGCATTAGTTATTTCTAAGAAACAGTATAGCTTCAGCAAGATCTTTGTTGGAGGGCCATTGATCCGATTTGATAAACTTCAGAGCTGAGAAGAGTCTTGCCACACTAACTTGAGTAGAAGGAAGAGCTGCTACTGTTAGGGCTACTTCTAAAAGAGGTGTCTTGCACACATAATCATATTTCTCTATTTCTTCAAAGGCTGTGTAGTAATCTTGTTTGTATTTTTTCATTTTTATGTCTAAAGGATCTATTTTTTATTTTCATTTGCTTTGCCTTAGCCTTTTCAATATTATCCAAAAATATTTCTCAAAATCTAATTCATCAATGGAAAAGGATGATAGAGACTCAATTGCAATGTCTGCAGTTTGATTGTCCTGATTCGAATTCTCCAATTGTTCTGAGAATAATTTCATTCTTAATGAAAGTTTATAGATGACTTTCTTTGCCTTTTTAATTTGTTCGTCATCCAAGAAAATTCGGTGTTTTTCTGATTTCCATATATTAAACCTAGCAAGATCTCATTGTCTAGCAAACTAGTTCCTCTTTACATCCCATTCTTGCCTCCTGTCAGTTCTTCAGATTACCGCTTTTTTGTGGCTATATATGGTATAGAAATAAGAGTTTCCAATTCTGCAAGATTCCACAGTCTTTCTGTCAGTGAAACATTAGGGTTATCTACATCTCCTAAAAAAGTTCTGGATTCTAAAAATCTCTATCATCAAATATGTACTTCCTTATCGCATTGCTTGATCAATAATTGCTCCTTTTCCTGCTCGCTTCCTAAGAATGGCATCAATTTTAGGAATTCTTGCTGCTATTGCTGCTTACCTAAATTTATCAGCGAGATTGGTAACTAAATGAATTAGTTTAATCACTAATGGCAAATATCACATTCATCCTCCTCCCTTATATTTATTAATAGGTCAATAAAATAGAAAGTAACTATTTATTAATGTTTACAGTCAAAATAAAAATAATAACTCAGCTTGTCATTAATTTTTTCAATTCATTTTAATTTCATTTCAAATTCAAACTGTCCAACGGAAAGTGGAGTTCGGAGTCAAGTTGTTTTTAACGACTCCAGCTCCGACTCCTTTTACCCCAAAATCTGCCCAACTCTGATTCCGGCTCCACATTCCGGTTTCAGCATGTGATTCTTTGTTGAAAATCTCTGTAGAAGCTAAAAGCACCTCCTTTAGTAACATCAAAAGAGGGCCTGCTCTCTAAAAAAATAATACTTTGTGTATAGTGAGATAACTGAAGAATTAGATGTTATGAACTGTTGCCACCAAATCTGACAATAAATTCAGGAAAATGCTGATCATGGCAGTTTTAAAAGCAGAAATTGAAATGAAACACACAGAGCGGACCAGTCATCCAGAAGTTGTCTTTTATTGTGGCAATACTCAGGTCCACATTTTGATGAATGTCAGACAGAGACTTATTGAGTATGAATGGTATGTTTTGTGTCACCATCTATATTCACCAAGTCTTACCCCGTCGGATTTTCATCTGTGTAAGTCACTTCAAAATTCTTTGAATGACTTGGAGTTTACATCTTTGGAAATTGTCAAGCAGCACCTTGATAACTTTATATCTGTGAAAAAGGGGGGCTGAGTTTTCTGTCTGCTAAAGAGATGGCTGAAAGTCATAGAAGAAAATGGTGTTTGTGTGATTCAGTGAAGGCTTTTTACATTTTGGTACTGCTTTTGTACTTATCATCAATAAACTGCAGAACTTTTCAGTTGGCCTATTATTTTCATGCTTTATTTCGCATTTTACAGGAATGTAAGTTAATATCCATTAAAATCTCTTTCATGAAGACATTCTTCTTTTTTAGCAGACAGCCCTTCTTCAGAGCTTTACTGCCATAAATTTTGTAATCTAATTGAAGTTTTATTTTCTATGAAAGATACTTTTATTTTCTACTCATTTTGTATAACTGTGAACATTAGACAGTTCCTTGTGAATGTGATTTCTATCAATATGTCAGTCTAAATTGACTAATTGAAACATCGATGATCACTTGAAAAACAAGTGATTTTTGGTATTCAATTGAAACACCAGTTGAACTTGTAGGGGGTTGCCGGAGGTTATTTGATGTGTGCTGCTGTTTATCACATGGTCGGAAGTTGTGTCGTTTTCGAAGTAATCAATGATAGAACTCCAATCATTTTATTTTAATTCCTTTATGAAAATAACAAAGATACATTCCATTCACACAAATCACATTAACGTGAAAAATTTAGGTCACATAAGTTTCGTATGCATACTGAGGAAAAAAGTGATTCAAAAGACGTTTTAATGCAAAAGAAAAATATACACTATAGGCTCTATTAACAACTCAAAAAATATAATGTTAATGTATTCTAAGGAAAATTATATACTTCATAATGATATAAATTAAATATATATAATAAATACATAAAACTGTAATAAGTAATGTTCATAACTATATAATAAATGCCAACACGCATTGCATCATGGTACATAGCAGTGCTATGAAAGGAAGGATATTTGATTAGAAATATACCTTTTGTCTTTATTTGATAATACAGGGGAGTAAAACATAAAAATGACAAGAAGTTATGAAAACAAGTTGTGCAACTTAAGAAATGGTAAGAAGCCCTGTAAGTTATTGCCATATCATAAGACGTTGAATAAATATCATTTTTTCATTCTTTTACATCAGTATTAAGTTTTTCATTAAAACTTTTGGCAGTGAGTGCCAAAACAGATTTATTATGGGTGCCTTTGATGCAAGGTCACATAAAAATAAGCTTGATTTAGCAAATTTCTGAAAACATTAAAATCAAATGCATTAAACTACAGTAACATATATTATTAAATTATTTTAATTACACATTAAGAAAGCAGTTGTCTGATAAATTTTAATTCTGATATGAAAACTGAATTAAATTATGAATGAGTGACTAAGCTTGCACAGTATTTTAAAACACATTTCATGTTCATACATTGGAAATAAATTGACAGGAATTGCAGTTAAATGAAAGAGCTGGAAATATAGTCTACATGATGTATAAAATGCAGTCAAAATTATTCGTTAAATTCTTAAGTTGATGCTTACCTTTTTCAAAATGAATATAAATACGATATATTTTTGTTACTTTAAAGGAAACATTATATAATGCATAATTATAATCATATTATCTGATGTGTACATTTTTTATTACATTAGGGACAACTGACAGATTTGGCGGCAATGTAACAAGTTAAAAAAATAACATACGATATTAAACCATCCCACATTAAAATTTAAATAAAAAGTGCTCTCATAGGTATAATCACGCGCAAAATTGAGATCAAATGTAAAATATAATTCTTTAATCTTTATCTGTTCGCAATAATACCAATAAAAAAAATCACATAGGCATTGACTCGATAAGTCGGTATCTGTAAATTGACTATACAGACGCATTCTGCAGTTCATTTTATACATATAAATCCATTTGTCATTAATTAGCAATACTTGAATGAAAATACACATTTTGCTGAAACGTGAACACTTATTTTTTTAACACTTACAAAAGCATACAAAGCTGATCTTACTTCAAAAGCACAGGCTCCTGTGCTCGGAATTCATTCCAGTCCACGAAAATTAATTTTCCATTTTCTTCGTATTTCTTAATTTCTTGGGAAACAGAACATACTAAAGTTATTTCTGGAACAATATGAATAATTTGATGCAGCACATCCATCCATATTTCTTGGATTTAGGTTGCAATACGAATGTAAACAACACAAATAATTGTTCACTACTAATGAATTCAATGAATTCATCTGCAAATTGTTCAGCAGCTTCAGTATCAGCCGAAGCTTTTTCACCTGAAATTTTTAATTGTCTTGTACCATGGCGATTTTTAAATTTGGTTAACCAACCTTTCGAATATGTGCACCCAGTGTTTAAGTTAATTTCTTCATGAAATATTTTGGCTTGTACCATTAGCATCGGAACCGTCAATGGCACAGCCTCGCTGCGATGCTGTCTGGCCCATTCAATCATCACTTTGTCAGGATCATCACTTTTAGCATGACAAACCCCTTTTTTTGTTATTCATTGCAAGTGGGGTTTCGGAATCCACAAAAAATTCAAAAAGTTCTTTTTTCTTTTTCCTTATGTCATATCCAGTTTTGTTTATATATTTCCAATGTCATACTCCTTGCATAATTTTGAGACGGATATGCCTTTATCCATTTTTTGCAGCAATTCCACTTTTTGTTTGATGGGCATCGAAACATGCTTTCGCTTTGTAGATCCTTTGGCAGCTCCAGCATTAGAAACTCTTTTTGACATAATCGAAAGTTCAAGCTTAATTTTTATAAAATTGCTCTAACAGTCTGCAAAAAATAATAAGCCGGATCAAATTAGAAGATTAAGGAACAGCGACATTAACTGAAATGCAACATTAACTGAAATACCCTAGAATCAGTAAAGATAATTTTAGCCTAGCTTATACCATCCGTTATACATTAAATGCGCATCCGTAAAGCATACAAAAAAAAAAAAAAGTTGTGGCTTTGAGGTCCGGATTATAGATCATTCCGGATAATGGACGTCTAGATTATGGACTTTGTACTGTATCACCCTTTATAGTGGAAATGTATTTATTGTGCATTATAATGTTTGATTATTAATTGTATGTAAGAAGTACTAAAATATATGAATGAATATTTAGGGCAGTTGCAGACCTCGTCCTGTGAATGTAGTAGAACCACGTGTGCATGTGGATGCATCAAGTAATGGTAACAGTTTACACATTTTTTAATGTGTATAATTAATTAATTTATTAATTTAGTGAATGTTAATGAAGTAATTATACTCTGTATAATGTTCTTTTTTTTTTTGTTTATTTATAGTTGCAGTTTGCAAATGCTGATAAAATTGTGCATATATTTTATGTGATCCTCCCCCTAAATATTTTTTATTCAGTAGTAGTATTTTTTATCCTGTTTAGTTTAAGAATAAAGGGCTTTCTTTGATACAGTTTATTGGAATAAATGATGATTTACTGCTTGTAAAAAGAATTATTGATTTTTTTATAAGTACATATTTTAAAAATCTGACAGTGTAACACTCATAAGACATAAACAGACTGATGGCATGATGTCATCTGATACTGAGAACATTCCCAAAGTGTCCATGGCGTAATTACCTTTAATGTTATTGTGATCCCACTTTGCGAAACTGATTTTCATAATTTTATTCAATTTTAGAATAATACAAAACAATTTAAGCCAGTATGTTTATTTTTATGTGTGTTGGCAACTTCTCTTGTGGCTACAATTATATTTATTATACACTTGCAAGGCAGTATTGCGGCTAAATAAAATCTTAATATTTGCAGTAACTTAAGCTATTTCACCTACATCCATGTGGTTCAACTATTAAGCACATTTTCATAGCGTTTAAAACTTGGATTATATTTTAACCATTATCTGGTAAATAGTGTAATGATTAATATTGTGGCACTATTGCTTCATTTCTGTGCATGTGATACTGCCATAGACTATATATAGCTGGAAGTGTAGTTTTCTGTAAGCAATTGTAAAAGTAAGATTGTGCTGAAAACGTGTGATTTAAATGCCTTCAATCCAGGACATATAGTAAGTTCTTGATGTATGAGTGATTCATCTTCAGTAGTAGTTTAAGAAATAGGTTTTTCTCATTTTACAAGTATTCCACAGTGTAAGTTTCTCATTCTGCGGTATGAAAAAGGTGTGTTAAGGGTGCATGGATTGCGGAAAAAGAACAATCACAAGCTTTTTGAAGACTCGGCTGCATTGCATCTAGTGCTGCATTGCAAGTAGCTAGTGCCACTAAACTTTACGACAGGTTGACCATCTAACAGAACTAAAGGTCCAACCAGACAATCGATGTACCATGCAATGCTCATTTCGTCACATGGGCTTCAGAAGCTAAAGATCCACAAGAGTACCACTCGCTGTGTATCACCGTGCCTAACATCTTTCTTGGGCCACAAAGCATTATGACTATATCATCAATGATTAGAAGTGAGTAGCATGGAAAAACAAATCTTGATTTCATCATGTTGATGATAGGCTAAAAATGCTAATCTTATGAAGCCAGCAAGCCAGGTTGAAATGTATGAGGTTTGGCCACCTCGTTGATACTTTGGAGGGTTTTCTGTTGGCAATATTTGAAACCTTTGTTACTTGTACCAAGCACTCTAACTGCTTCCATGTATGTAGATCTATTGGTTGATTGCTTACATCTACTCATGCTTTTCTGTTATCCAAAAGGAAATGAAAGAATACCAGCCAGACAGTTGCTGCTGTCGCAAATTTCAATTGACTACTTCCTGGTTCAAGTAGCATTTCACTGAATTTTCCCTCCTGAAGTCACCACTTTGAAGCCCATACTTAAATTCTATTGAATAGCTTTTGGATATTCTGGAAAAAGGTGTGCAAGCATGTTATTCACTTCCAGTGTCTTTAACTGATTTACAGGGAGGGAGAAATGTTTAGCAGACTGTACCTGTGAAATACTTCTGTGGATTTATTCAGTCTGTGTTTTATCATATGGCAGCCAGCCATTATCAAGACCAGAAAAGCGCCAGCACGTTATTGATAAAAGTATTTGTAATTCTGTGGTGCTACAGTATAATAGTGTATGATTAATAATTTTAGTGTTAAATGATAACCACTGTTTTCTGTTTCATGTATGTAAATCTAAACTGATTCAGGCCTTATGTGATTGCAAATACAGTTGATGACTTGCTATTGTAAGCCTCACGTTTGTGTTTTGTATTGCGAAAACTCGAAAAAAGAAATATTAATTTGAATAAATGTGGCAACAGCAGTTTGTTATTCGTTTGTTGTTAGAAAAATAAAATAATGTGCATTCATATAGTCTTCGCTTGGGTTTTAATAAATAAGTTCTAAACTTCATATCTGAATTCCGTTATCATTTTAGAAATCCCGTATGTGGTGCAGATTTTTCGCTTGCCTAAAGAAGAAAACCCTAGTAAGGAGACAAAATTTGTAGTAGTGATTATAAAGACAATGTGAGAACAAACTTTAATCACTTATCAGACATATGGACACACACACACACATACAAAAAAAAAAAACCCTCTCTTCACAATTTACAGCTATGTTACTGGTGGCCAAATATGCGAAAGGACTGTGAAATATATGTCCAAAGATTTCAGTAATGTCAAATTGTGAACCATCAAACTGCTAATGTGTACGACTTATTGCAGCACTTGCCGATTGTAACAACACCATGGGAAATTGTATCTGCTAATCTGTTTGCTATAAACTAAAACCAGTATGCTTGTTCAGATTGACCACGCCACACACCATGTGGTTGCAGCGCCTTCTGCATCTCTTGCCGCATACACAGTGACCGATGCCCTGTATCAAAACATCATTATTTCATATGGGCCGCCGTGTATGTATTTATCAGATAGAGAAACAGTAGAGAAGCATACAATCAATGACACTGCCTTATTTGGCACAGGATAACAGCATCATAGAATAGGCTGATGGCATCATTGCTTCAACTTTGAGAAAAATTATTAACAAAAATTCAAATAACTGGATTGTATGAGTGCCAAACACATTGCTGGTCATTAATACCACGAGACCAAATTCCATCATGAAATTCCGCATTTTATTTCTTTCATGGATATGAGCCCTGCCTTATCCATGAACCTCACATTGGGAGCTTTGTAGATGACATGCCAAATAATGATTGACCTTTTATCTTTGGCCAGGGCCGAAGTTGCAAATTTTCTGTGTATGAACTACATTTAGCGAATATATGCAGATTTGATCTCCATTGCAGATCTCATTCATTTAAGATAAAAGATCTCGTATTATAAGAATGGCCGAAACAAGGAGATCACAGTCTCTCCCAAAAATTCAATCAACAGTTTGTTATTGGTCATCCAGTCTGGGCTGTGTGCTATGAGATCAAATCTATGACACCAGAGAACAAATTTTTGAAAGTTGTGCATCTGCAGCATTATTATCCTTACTTCAATTAAAGATGTGCCAAAGTTAACAGCTCGGAGGAAGATGCTTAAAACTAATTTGCATTTGTTTTGTATATTTGTTGATATGTTTGTTTTAATATGTGCCTTCTACATAAATTAAGCTAAAAATAAAAGAATTATGTAACTCCTTTATGTATTACTGTCATGATCTGCCTCGTACACACTTTAACTTAATCGTAAAAATAAATGATTGGATTTAATTTTGAATACATGACGGTAAAAACCGGTGAATATTTTTGTGAAGCAATGCACATCATTTGCAGTTACTTTTGACAGTAACGGTATGGTTTCAGAAAACTGAAAACTAAAACTTTTTTTTTTGTATCACTTTAAAAACCTTCATCTCACGGCTTTGAACATCAGGAATATCTAAAAATCACTCATTTCAAGGTCATTTGAAGCAAAATCAGCTAATATGGTGAATGATCAAGAGCTTCAGCTATTTTGTAGGCTATAAACTGCTTCACAGTGAAGACTGAATTTGGCTGGGCATTATCATCAGACTTATGCTTTCATTCAGCATAATGCATGAACTCAATTTGCTTTCTCAAAGAATTAATTAAATTGGTATTTAAATTCAATTTATTCTTTTGAAACAATTTTGTATTTAATAAATATATTATTCTTGGACTTTTCAGGAGATTTGAGTGTTTAACTATACTTCTTTCACTTCTTTTAAAATTTCTCACATACACACATATAAATTTGTGTGTATAAATTTCATTTTTGTTATTATTTGGATGAAAAACAAGTGTCTGCAAAATGCATTGTGGTTATTATATTAATAACATTCACTGAATTTAAAGTTTAATCGTGTGCCACCTTTTTTTGGTGTACATATACTGTAAAAAAAAGTTTTTAAAATAAAAGTATAATAAAGGTTTATGTAAAGCTGTAGGTAAATGAACTTGATTACTTATAGTTTACAGATTTGAAGTATTTATCAAAGAAATTCTTTTTTAGAATCTCCATCCTTCTTAGCTGAACAAGATGAAAAAAATAGTTCCAGGTAATACTGTACCTAAATATGTAAAGTGTGCATTTTGATTATCATAACATATTTAATTTTTTCTAAGTTTCTTGACAGCAGTATGTTAATGATCATTATTGAATTCAGAAATAATTGGGTGGTTACTAATATTAAATTATCTGGATTATTTTTCTGATGTTGTACATTGATTGAATGTTTTGTCTTTATTTAAACATGCACATAATAGCATAATATTGCATTTTTAACATTGTACCAAAAGTTTTATCAATGAGCAAAATTATATTTCAATTTATAAATTAGTTATGCACATTTAAAATATGATGTCCAGTGAGCTTGCTTATGCTAGGGCTATATTTTATTTTGTAAACATATTAGCAATTTTGAAACAGTCTTGAATTTTTCATATGTAGTATTGATAAGAGTTAGTATGGTGTAAAATTCAGCAAGAGGTACTTTTTATCACCTTTTACCTGGTGAAAGGAAGGCTTGTGCGTGTGTGACTTTTGAAGAAAAAAAGAAGTGTCTTACACTCAGCAAAAGAGGTGTAATAAATTAACATGGATGCTCTTTTACATCTGTTGTGGGCTGCTCAGATGGGATAGTGCTTAGTGACGCTGACTTCTGTACCGAAGGGCCCGGGTTTGAATCCAGAGAAGGCATGGATGTTTTTAAGTATATGGTATCTGGTGGCACTGGGCAAATCAAAATACGTGACAATCCAAAATCCTCTTGATAGGTTGGTGATTGGGGGGGGGGAAGTAGGAAACCTTGGACTGCCCCTTTTTTGCCATCTCGCCAGGTGTGTTCTTCCTTGGAATTCCATCTGGGACAAAGGCTTAGCAGTTATTAAACGCGGCAGGTTCAATCCGTACCTGTACACCTATTACAGTATTTCTCATATGAAAAACTTAACTGACTAAAACTCTCATATGTGTATACATGAATAAAATGAGCGAAAGTTACTTAATGTGCATACATGAATAAAATGACATTTTTACTTGTCTTTAAATTGTCAGAATATAACATTAGAAGATAGTCAAAAGGAAAAGAAAGAAAAAAATCTGAATTATGTCAGATTAATATTTTAAATAACGTCCAAAAAGGCCTTTTTTTTTTTTTTAAAACATATTTGTCTGTTACTTTTATTTATTAAATATCATGTTCTTCACACTTAAACCATAAAATTCAGTTCAATATCAATGTCACAGAATAATTTAAAATGGGTATATCTTTTAGCATTTCCTATACACGGTTCAGCGCGCTGGAGGTAAAAATGCTTTTTTTCTGCACAACGTAGCCATTCTTGCTCTGAAATCCTTGAGTTTGTTAATCTAAAATTTGTTAAAAGGTTTACAAAATATGAAATTGATTATAAAACAAATTTCAAATTTGGTCTTCCACAACATGCCCATATTCGCAGTAAGATTACATCATTGAAAATTCGATGGCTCTATGTACAGTTGTTTTAACACAGTGCAAGAAATATACACACATTTATGCAGATTTTTCATTTATTTCTTCAAATGTAATGCAGTACTCTTAACATTTGGTGGCAACAGTTTGAAAAGTGAAACTGACATTTATAGTGAGCCAATGCAAAATTGCAAAACGAAAACAATAGTCCTTACAGAGACAAAACCCCTTTGGACTAAAAAAAATTCTTATCAAATTGATTCACTTGATCAATTCTTACTAAGTATTTCGGGTTAAAAATGCATTTGGTTGTTTGAGTTATTTTGCCGATCATAATGAGCCTTCACATAGAAGCCTATTGAGTGGGTAAAATATCTGAATATTCGAAGTTTATCTTAGTTGATGGTACTAGCAACTGAATAAGCTAGTTGCATGAGATTTTCATGTTAATGTAAACCAGTTCCTCTTAAAAAGTTGCTCCGGACAAATACTCTTTACCTTAGCCAAAATGAAAAAAAAAAGCCAAAGTCAAGTTCATTTGTCTTCGGCTAAGGTTTTTTTTATTTGGGGCTAAGGTTCATTTTGGGAATGTTTCCTTGAAAAAAATTAATTCAATAAAATATACATTATACATAGACTCCAACTACTACGGATTCTCCGTAGTTTCTACGGAAATTCATGAAAAACTACGAGCTACGAAAAGTATGGAAAAAACTACGGATTTTACAGAAACAAGAGCAGGAGAACCAGTACGCAAAACGGAACCAACTAATTCATCTGATGATTGGCTGAATACTCGTGTTATCATATATCACGTGTTGAGTGCGTTCCTAGTTTTGAAGAATTAGCCAATCGTAGATCAGTAACTCCAACCGTTAACGACTTATCAATAGTTCCACCCAATTGTCTGTCTCCCAGGTTCCTCGCTGATGCGTGTTTAGGCTGCATTCGGCTGCATTGTGTAGTTTACGGCGAGAGCTTAGCGTGTGTCTTGTGAACTGTGAATCAGGTGAAAGATTTTTTAATCATAATGCTGCCTCGAACGAAGAAGCCAAAATTATCAAAGCAGAAGTTTAAAGATTCATATTCTTCAGAATTTCCATGCATTAAAGCGTCCGAAATTTCTGTGAATCACGCACACTGCAGTGTATGCAACAAAGACTTCTCAGTTGCTCATGGCGGAAAAGATGACTGTAAACGGCATGTGTTTTCTCAAAAGCATATAGAACTTGGCACCGTAAAATCTAAAGAAATAACAAATTTCTTAATAAAAGATGATGAAACAGATCCTATAAAAGCCGAATGCTATTTTGTTCGTTTTTTAATTGAACATAATCTACCGCTTTCTGTTTCGGATCATTCCAAAGAGCTTTTCAAAGCAATGTTTCCGGATTCTGCCATAGCAAAAAAAATTTAGCTGCGGTCATACCAAAACTGCTGCTATTGTGAAAACGCTTGCAGAAAATACTGTTGCTGATATTATAAAATCAGTGTGCAGTACATCATTTTCTCTAAGTACTGATGGAAGTAATGATAACAAACTGTACCCATTGGTTATAACATACTACAGTAAAGAAAAGGGAGTGATAATTACTTCATTGATTTCTATTTTAGAATGCACGAATAATACAGGAGAAGGTATTTTTAATTGTATAAATGAAAATTTTAAAAACAAAGGTTTAGAATGGAAAAATTGCTTATCATTTTCTTCAGATAATGCTAGTAATATGATTGGAAAGTTTAAAGGTGTAGCATCATTTATCAAAATGCATCAACCAAGTATAATCACCCTAGGTTGTCCGTGCCACTTCTTGCATATAGCTGCAAAAAAAGCTACTGAAAAATTAATTGGCTCAGAAATTGAAATGTTGATAATAGATATATATTTTTACTTGGAGAAAAGTTCGAAACGGAAGCATAGCTTCAAAGTTGCTCAACAAATTTTGGGACAGAATGCAAAATCTCATAAAATTTTGAAATATTGCAGTACGAGATGGTTGTCTCTTTTAGAATCTATAACAAGGATTTTGGAACAGTGGGATGCTGTGATAAATTTTTTTGGAGATAAACCAGATAACAGTGAGAATGAAGGAAAGAGATTGCAAAACATTAAAAAAATTTTACAGTCACCGACCACCAAATTGTACTTGTTATTTTTGAAAAATACTTTGCCTTTGTTTATAACAGTAAATATTAATTTGCAACAAGCTCCTTATATACATAAATTGAGAAGAGAACTTTTTGAACTTTTAATGAATTTACTTGTTAGATTCGTAAAACCATCAGTAATTTCTAAAGAAAATGAAGATGTTACTCTAACGTCTATTCCATTTCAGAAGTATAGTAAACAAAAAGAAAATGAAAATTTAGTGATTGGTGCGGAAACAAGACTATATTTAAAAAATGCCAAGTTGAATGAAAGTGAAGGGAAATCATTTTTCAATTCTGTGTGAGCTTTTTTTGTAACTGCGTGTTCATATATAATTGATAAATTTCCACCGAGTGATCCATTTCTAAAACATGCTGAAGTTGCTGACATCAACTTGAGAACTGAAGTCTCATTTTCATCTGTTCTTTACTTGATGAATACTTTTCCATCCATTATTGATGAAAAATGTCTTAATCAAGTAGAAATTGAATTTTCCATGTATCAAGTAGATGATTTGAAAGAAATTGTAGATTTGCGTATTGATATAGCATGGGGAGAAATTGCCAAATTAAAAAATATGAATGGGTGTATTAAATACAAAGTATTGCCTTCTGTAATGCTTGCTGTCTTAATAATACCTCATTAAAATGCAACTTGCGAAAGAATTTTTTCTATTGTTAAAAAAAATCAGACAGAATTTCGACCAAATTTAGGTCTTAAAACTCTTGAAGCAGTTTTGATTGAAAAAATAAATATGCAGGCAAATGAAGAACTGTGTTATAAAAAAACATTCTCAAAATCAGAACTTAAGCTTGCTAAGCATGCTACATATAAATCTTTGCATTCATAAATTATGCATATTTTGTTTAATACTTATATGTATCATTCTTGGTTATTTAAATTTTATTTCCCTGTAGAAATCATATCCAGAATAAAGATATGATTTATAGCTTCTGATTTTTTCTATGATTAGTAGTGATTTGAAGTACTTTTTATTAGTGAATGCTTGAGGAGTTAAAAGAAAAATTCTAATTAAATGTGCATATAATTTACAAGGTATATTTTTAATTATTCTGTTTTATATGTATATGGATTTTAAATGTAATAAAATTGATTACAATTAATTATTAATTTAAAATTAATGAATGGTTAATTACAACATATGCTACGCGCACATTTTCAAAGTTGTAAAAATGTCGTTCGCGCGTTGACTACTGACAAGGTTTGCTGAAGGTTGGAGTCTATGCATTATAGTGGACATTATAAAGTTTAATATATATTGGTACCCTCTCCTATCCAATTTAAACAGCATTCTAATTTGTTAACAGTAAGTTGCTTATTTACAAAATTATGTAGTGTACAGTCAGATATCTAAAATTATTGGGACGCTAGCAATTCTGAATTCAGAAAATTTCCCAATTTTATACTTCAGTTTAAATTTAGGAAGATTGACAAG